ACACGTTCGCGCCGGTGCGAACACGTTCGGGCGAACGTGTTCGCGTTCGCCCCCGAACGCAAACAGCGTGCAACGCAGCCTCAAGCTTGTATTCTGTTCCTGACAGCCGTATAACACAAACCTGGCAAACCCCTGGCAGCCTGGTGACAGGGGTATAATGCAAAGATTTAAATCCAAAACGGCATTTCACAATGTTTTGAATATTAGAGGGGTATTCCACTCTGCCCCCATCTTGTAGGGGTATTTTTGCATATACCTCAAAAGGTCCTCAACTTTCAGGGGTATTTCACAAGTTTTCCCTTTGTGTATTTACTATTCAATACTTGCATATATTTATATTATATATTATGTTGTGAATCTTGTGATAAATAATACAGTAAAACAATATAATATTGTATATAATTTTTATTTTTTAATTTTGCACGGAACCTGCGCGTGTGTGTGAACGCAATACCAGAGCCAACACAAACTCACTGATCACCATCTATGAGTAGACAACCACCAAAAAAAAAAAAAAAAGGAACTGTATTCGGGGCAACTTTCAGTCTAGATACAGTGATAATGACCGTATGTTCTATCAGGGGTGGAAGGCGGTAGTCTATCCTATCTAACTCATCGATCATGCTGCTGAGCTCTGTCCCACATCTGCCGATGACCGCTTGAAGCGTCTGACCCCCCTGGAGCGCTCCGTACCGACCACCAGGTGACTGGCCGCCAACCTTGACGCTACCTTCCTCACCCCGCAAGGACCACCCCAGCTCTACTGCCACCCTTACTGTACGAGGGGCCCCCTCAGCTATGGTGCACGGCCGCTGCCCAAGCGGGCCCCCTATGGCGCTGTGACTGCAACACGTCGCTCATCCAAAACCAAGCATTTACTCTATTGCTGATGCAGCATAACGACGGCGTGGACCCGATGTCCCCGTGACGGACCGGGACTATATCCAGTGACCGGGCCTTGCGTCGGCCGGTAAGTACTGCCTACCTGATCAGGAAGCTTCCTGATGCTGCTGAAACCTACCACGACCAAGGGGAGTTACTGCGTCCTCCTCTTGGGCCTACCGGGCCTGATCCTCGGGATCGCAGGGCTGACAGGCTCTGCTTGGCTGGCTGCGCGGCATTGGTACCTCGTACTCCGACACCCTTGGGTCTGAAGTCCTCTGTGACCACCTCTTTTTTTTTCCCTCCCCCCCCCCCCCCCTCCCTCTCTGTGACAGCCTCAGTCTTCCGTTGATAGCTCTCTCATATCCTGTGACCTTGGGTCGTTTTTTGTTTTGAGTGTAAAAGCTAGGTCGTTTTTTCTGCCCGGCCGGGCAACTGGGCAAGGGAAAAAGTGTTTTTTTTTTTTTTTTTTTTTTTGGCGTTGGGGATCTTCTGCGCATTCGCAGAGGAGCCCGAACCCAGGCTCTTCTTTTTTTGAGTGTTGGCTGTCAAGGGGCAAAGGGGGTGTAAATTGGCTTTAAAGGGGGTAATGTTACGATCCTGACCAATCTCGAAGTACAAAATTCACGATAAAGCACAATGCCGTCCAATTGCAAAAGAAATGCATGAACTTGAGAGGAGAGAGAGGGAAAGAAGAAGAAGAAGATGTACACCAGCAGAAGACCAATGATATTCCGCCTCCTCGCCAGCCGAACTCCTCCTCCTTTACTCCTCCCCTCTTATTCAAACAATAAATGATAATAATAATAATGAATGACAGAGCCAGAATCAATGTCCGAATCCCTCTCCTACTGCAGGCACAACAAGAGATTCACCATAGCCATGGCCGCCCTTCTCCTTCCTCTTCATGAAGGGCGAGGCTATGGCGGACTACTAGGGCCTTTCCCTGCTGTGCAAAAGACAACGCAAAGCAGCTATGGCCTCTCCCACTCAGGCCGCCATGCCTGACCCTGTCTTGAAGCTTCTCAATGTAGCTCTATTGCAATATGGGTCTTCCAGATGCAGCGTCCACCAAGGTGATGAAGATGGCGTCACCATAGCCAGGTAAGTACCCCTGGCACTCCCTTCCCCTAGTTTTTTTCTTCCTCCTCCTCCTACCTGAGCTCCTGCACCATAGCCAAGGTGGGGAGCTGGGCGTCCTTCTTCCCACAGTGCAGCACACTAGCACTGCTCCACCACGCGCTCCAGCAGCGCGTCGCCCAAACTTGCAGGCAGCAAATAAGGAAGAGCTCATTGCTCTTCCCGGTGATATAGCAAGGCAGCAGCCTCCTTGGGCGGTGACTTTCAGGACGCCCGGCCTCCAAGCAACCGGTACCTCCTCCCTTTCGGAGGGAAACATCATTGCAGCCTCTGATATTGTCCGCACAGGGCCTAGACTCAGACTACTTGGACGGGTACCCGCCTAGACCTAGCCTACAACTACTGGGCCTCTAAAAATGCCCACTTTCTGTCGTCTTCTGCTTGACCTCCAGTCCCCAACACATCTACCGCTACTGGAGTGGCACCGGCCTACCTGCTACTCGAGTGTTCTTCCCCGCTGCTCTAAGTGCCGCAGGCCTTCTCCCGCTACATGAGTGTTTTCCCTGCTGCAACCCTCAATGTCACGGCCACAGGTACGTACCGGCCCTACGGGGCCTCCCAAACAAGCCAGTACCCTTGCGGGTCACACACACACTCAAGCTGACGAGCACTCAGACAGGCAGACAGACCAGCAAGCACGCACACACACAGACTTTGGAAACTCAGCAGAAAGCGGGAATCTCAGCAAGGCGTTCATTCCAACTGCAAAACTCAGAAATCAGCTGTGTTCTCAGTCCGTCTTTCGGGCATGTCCTTACACTAAAGGGGTTTAAAGGGGGGAACCTTAGTTTGATTCTGTTACTTTCTTTTTCATCTTTTATTCAATGAGGAATTCAGATGTGCCCCTCAGCCAAAAGTTGTTTGCATTGTAAATCTACACAATATGATTTTTCCGGTTTTTTTTTTTTTTTTTTTTTTTTTTTTTTTTGCGCTGGGGCTGCCCGGACCCCTGCCCCGGGGTCATGCCTGGGCGGGCAACCGGGCATGAATCCGGTCAGAAGATGGTGCCTGGGCACCCGGAAAAACAACCTAGTGTAAAAGTGTATTGAGCGATAGTCAGAAAACCAATTTGCAACATCACTTTGAAGACCAGATAGTTGTGTCCCAAGCAGAAAGCAGAATGCACTGAGATACAAGCCAAATAAGAGCAAAATGCAATGAACTCAAATGCCAATGTCAGCCTCTTTCTCGCCTCCATCAATGTTGTATCCAATGTCATCCTTCTTGATTGTCGTGCAGACCCCAGCCTACCACTATTCAGAACTTATACTAGCCTACAACTAAATGACGAAGCAACTGGGAAACACTTCCAGTCGAAAGCCAATGTACATGAAGAAGTCGACAATGCGGACTGCCACATACACATAAAGTACGCGTCCCTTCCCTCTCTCCCCTCATCTCCTTTCATCTCCTTCTTCCCCACTGTGCATCCCCAACACCCGAAGACCACCATCACCAACACCAGCTACGCGCAAGCAGGCCTGACTATGGCCGCTTGCACCCGTTGCCCAAGCAGTGCCGTCCCTCTTAGCGCTCGTGTGTGCCCCATTCTCAAGCGCCCAGCTTCCTCCAGCGCCCAGTCCAG